ATTTTGAAATCTAAAAGGAGAGAAAGTGTTAATATTGACATTGCAAAAACTTAAGAGAAGAGGAGAATGATCGGAAAGAGTACGGGTAAGGTGAGTAACATGAGCGTTAGAAAAGTAGTTAATCTAAAGATTATTAAAAAGAATACGATCAAGTCATTGCCACATAACACCTTTGTTCCAAGTAAAAATGTTACCAGAAACATCAATATCATGAAGGTTGCAAGACCTTATCATATCATTAAAATCCTCCATATTATTAAAATTGGGGGGCTTACCCTCTATCTATTCATTTGGATTAGAAATGCAATTAAAATCGCCCCCAACAAGCCAAGGGGAATTCAGCGAGGAAGCAAAATCATTGAGTTGACTCCACAGAGTCTACCTCCCACTTCTAGAACAAACAAGAGAAGCAAAGCAAGTAGTTTGATTAAAGAGAAAAGTAAAATGAACAACTTGAGGTAAATCCACAATCACATTTAAAGAAACCGAATGATTCCAAAAAAAGCCAAATTTTATTAGTGCAATTACCAAAATAGAAATCAAAGCCTAAGTAACGCTTAACAAAATCAATTTTAGTAGCAGCAATTAAAGGTTCAATTAAAACAAGCATTTGGATGTCATGAATCCTACACAAATTCTTGACTCTATCCTTGGATAGAGAACCACCCACACCCCTAATATTCCATAAGAGAGCTTTAACCATTAGCGGAATGGGTGGAAGATCTAGTGATTCTAGGGGTACTATTGGAAATACCCTTAGTATTTTTGCCTTTCTTTTTAGAATGGGAGTTGGAATTGTTCCCAACTTCAAAAAAATTTCCCTTCTCCTTGGCCGTTGGTGACATATGTTTGGTCGTTTCCTTAAGTTCTTCCATAGGAATCCAAATTTCTATGTTACCCACTTCACCTTCCTCCAACTCCTCATTACTACACCTTTTGCCAATCATTTGTTTAGAAGAGGTGCTTTCACCTCCACTAATATAGTTTCCCTTCTTATGTTGAAAGTCTTCCTCAATTTCCAAAATTTTCACATCAATTTCCTCATTATTGATAAGAGCCCTTTCTTGATTCACAGCCATATTCAAAGAGTCTAGAATTTCCTCCATTTTATTCCCATTAATTTCCACATCCATATTCCCATTAAGTTTCATTCCTTCCCTTTCCACTTCTAAAGCCACATTTTTATTGCCTTCATCACAAATTCTTATGGAAGAATCTAAAGAGAGACCATCAATGTCATTGTTGCCAATCTTGAGATTCTCAACAGGTTTAAGAATATCATTAGCCAAAGCTATTTTAGAACCATGATTCAATTCTTGCTCTGTAGGAACAGTAACTTCCCCACTTTTGGATACCTTACTATTGTTTCTAAGTTGGGGATGAACCACAAAGCAATCAACAATCACATGCCCATGAATTTTACAATGAACACAAAAATCAAGAACGTTTTCAAAATCAACTTTTTGTAAGTAACCCGCATTTTCAGAACCAATCCAAATATCCTTGGGATGCTTTTTAGTTATGTCAATTTCCACTAAAATACGGGCTACAGAAGGGCGGGATCGAGAGGCCGTAGCTTGGTCAGTTTGAAGGGGTCTACCAAAAATTGAACCAAGAGCATGTAAAACATTAGCATTAAAGAAATGTAACCTCAAATTGGGAAAAGAGATCCAAATTGGGACAATAGGGGACTCTTCCTTTACATCAAAGAAAGGAGTCCATTTAAGAAGACTCATTTGACAGTTAAGAATGTAGTACGACCGTCGAGCAAAAAGGTCGAAAGCTGAATAGAAACATGCCGAGCATCTAACATACCAATGGAAAAATTACCAGACAGTTTGAGTTTACCAAAGAAGTTCCGAATAGCATCTAGGTTAGGGTTAAGCGGCGTTACCGAACCGGCCAATACATCGCGAAAAGAACATGAGGAAGATACAGGTTTTCCATCAACCAGCAGCCCTTTAGAAGGCGCAGAAGATCCAGACGGTGGACAACCCCAAGCATCGGGGATAGCGGAAGATGCCATCACCACGCAGAGAAGAAGTGCCCTCCGCCAAGAGGCCTACCAAAGCTCTAGAAGGGAGAGCCAAACCCAAAATCTCAAACAAAAGCAACGAGAAAACGAAGGAAGAGCAGCGAAAATAGCGAAAGGGCGAGAATCACACACGAATCGCTAGCGCACGTGAGGCGGCTACGGTTTTTTTGACCTGAGGTAGCTTGATTTGTTAATGAGTGTAGACAATATTATTCAAATTCTGTTCAGAAGCTTGATTCGATAGTATGCTCTTTTAAGATTTAATATTATGTTTTTTTGGGACTTCATCAAATTTATTAATATATGATATGACACGAGTCTTATTTTTTCTCTATTATAATATTTTTTTATGCACGCAAGTTGCTTATTTATAATCTTTAAATTGCTTATTTATTTAATAGATCATCAAATGAAGTTTCATTTTTATCTTCATAATCTGCTCATTAATTGGTTCCATAAGGCCTTTTTCGATTGTCTAAGATGGAAGGCCTTACCTAAATGGATTGAATATTGTTGATATATATTTTATATAAAAGGAATATCTTTATTCCTTCAGGTTGTGTTTTTTTTGTAATTCTAATAATCATTTATTTTTTTATTGTGATTATATATTCTTTTAAAGTTTTATCTTTATTCATTCATAGTCTTGCTCATTTTTTTCTTAAGCCTAATCTTTTACAAGTCTTAGATTTTTTATTTCGGATCTTAATCTGTCTTCTAATGTTAAGAATTTCTTCTATTTATCATCTTGTTGTTCATTGTATTTATTAGGAGAGAGAGGAATGAGAGGAGATTTTCTGGTAATTGCTTAAGTGTGGATTCGATTTTTAGATTGATTCATCAAGCTATTTTTGCTAAGATTTCTCATTAGAAATCCTTTATTGAGATTAAGTGCTTTTTGGATTAATGGCTTTGTCTGGTGGGTGGTTGTGATTTCTGGTTGTGATTCTTAAGGTTTAGATTTTTAGGTGTTTTATTTTTGGATTATCTTGTTATTGTCAACAGATTTTACATCAGGATGGACAATAATGTCAGTCCTTTCTTTGGTTGGCTTGGGGTTTATAGGCTTTTTATTTTGTTGTCTTTTGTTAGTGTTTCTGGTGCTCTTGGCCTTTATTTATTTTTGTTGATAAGCTGGTTTTTGTTTTATGCTGGTGGCTTTTTAGGATTGGCTTTGCTCCTACTGGCTTGGATTTATGGCTGCAAATGAGCCGAGCCGAGCCGAGTATGTGTGTGTTCATCTTTGTGTTCATTTAATATTAGCTTGTTCAAGTTTGGTTCATGTTTGTTCGAGCTTTATTGTTTGTGTTCATGTTTGGTTCATTTAAATTTATGAGTGTTCATGTTCGGTTCATGTTCAGTTCATGTTCGTTCGTTTAGTGCTTATCAAACTTGTTCGCGAACATATTTAACGAATTTTTTTTAACTATCAAACAAACACGTTCATGAACATATCTATGAACAAACATATTTATAATAAAAGCAATTGTCTATGTAACAAAGGCAATGATTATTTATATTTATTAATTTTATAGTCAAATATTAATTATTTTTATCGAGCTTATTCACGAGTTCAAAATCAAACACGAATCAAGCTTCTTATCGAGCTTAATGTCGAGCTTGTTCACGAACTTCAAATGATGTTGTT